CTTGATTAAAATATAATATTTAGATTTAGCCAGGGCTAAAAGCGAAGCTCTCGATAATATTTATAGTTTGTTTAAACAAAATATAAAATCGTGTAATGCTAAACGGCGAAGGCAAAGCCGGAGAACGGTGAAAAACAACAATAGGTCTAATTAGTAAAAAAGCAACTTTGCACGTGCAGCTCACTTTTTTTGTTCCTTTCTTTGCCGTTGTTTTGCACGACTACAACGTGAAACTTCCAAAAACGTTTTTATGGAGGAAATTTCGTACGTGTTCTCGTTCTCTTCTTTTTTCACTGCCGCTCATTTTCTTCTTGCATTGGTGGCCGCTAGCATTTCTCATTTTGTCACCGCTGCTACAAAATTTCCATGTTGTTCTTCCGACAAAAAAATTTCTCCTTTGTTTTTTATCGCTCGCTCTAGATCTCCGTCGCCCTTTTTCTCGTTGAGTTTCGCTGGCCTGCCGCTTTTTCTATTTTTTTCTGTCTTTCTCTTGCTCTATATTCCAAATTTGTGGACATGACAATTAATCTAAGCTTAATAGCGGAGCTCCCGCGCGCGCGAAGCGCGCGCGCAGCGGAGCACCATGGGTAAGAAAATTTGGTAAACCATCCATTCCAGAAAATTTGGTTATGACGTAGCGTACGCCCGTCCGTACACACACTTCATGTAAGCCGATGTCAAATGTCACAATAGATCTTGCACAACTTGACTAGCCTCTTAGTTATGCAAGCCATCCGTATGAGTACGATTAGATTGACAGCTGTCAAAATCAGACATCCGCTGACAATTATCACATGACCGTCTCGCGGGCTCAGATAAAAGACCAGTCGTTTTGCCCCTATATATAAGCTGATATAATATGTCACACTTACCAATTCAACATAAAAACGAAACTACGCCGGGCAAGGCTGTCAGTTGGCTGACAGTTGTTTAAAGTTACATTGGCAGGCCAAATTAAGGTCAATTGACAGCTGTCAAAATGGGACATGTGCAGACCGCTATCAGAAGGGCTCAGGTTCGCTCAGGTACACGATCTGGCATTTTGCACTACATGCCGGACGGAAATGTCCTACTCACACTCGTAGTCTGTTCATTCGAATATTCGCCATTCTAATGAAGGTTAATTGACAGCTGTCAAACTAGAGTATACGCTGACCATCATCACCTGAGTGGATCGCGGGCTCATTTTTCTATCTATTGAGGTCATGTAGTGTTTAAAGTTTTGCGCTGATATTTTATTTGATCACGGGCTCAATTCGAAGCCCCATAGCTTTATAGAAAATCTATCCATCCTAGAAAATTCGGTAATCACGTGACCGTACACCGACCACCCGACCCTCCGTCCGTCCGCACCACAGGCATACCAATGTTTAATCTCACACTTTCTAGCTAGTTTGGGAGCCTGCAACCTGATATTGTACATCCATGTTTTGATTAATTGACAGCTGTCAAAACAGTGTTTCTGCTGACCAGTATCGCCTGACCGTATCGCGGGCTCAGGTATCGACCTTTAAAATGCATATGAAATAATTCGTGTTTCATGAGCCGCACTTTTAAAATGTTGATTTCGAACTGATCTCGGACACGAAAATTCAACCGGCTTTTACATTTACATGCAGGGAAGGCAATCGCTTTTGACTTTTCTCACTGTCACGCGTTGATCAAGCTCTACGTCCAATTTTTATGTTCTGATTGGTCAAAATTTGACAGGTGAGTTTATGCGGAAAATTTTTGCAACGTCTGGAAACTTGCTTACTGATAGCTGGAGCTGAGAGAGTTTTGTGTCATCTTGTGATGCTTTAAACTGTCTTTTTCTACTTGGTGTACAAAATGAAATACAGCTGCTATCAAGATTGTTATGTACATGTAATTCGTGGCTGGTTTGTTTATTGCGCTTTTTGTTGACAAATGCACCGTTTGTCAAAGTCATTGGAAATCCGATTTCGGATGGCATCGTTTTCAAAAATGAGCTTACTCACTTGCCCTTGCTTGAGGCGTAAGAAGGTTGAAAAGTCTCAAGCGATTCTGGAACACTTGATGACCTTCAGAAGCAGCATCTCGACTGGTAAGCTTGAGCCATTATTGTTTTTGATGTTTTTTTTTTTTTTTTTCAGTTTCCTGAAGTCGAGCGTATGGTTTATGCGGCTTAAGTTAAAACACGAGCAATGATCTAACCTACAATAGTATCAGGTTTAAAAAGCCTTTAGACATTTTTTGACCCACAAATTCAAAGAAAAGGTTCCGAAGATTATTTAGTTATGTTTTGGGCTGTAAACAGAAAGCTCTGAGCGATTTTCTTACCTCGAGTTCATCTTGAAAAAGAGCGAACACCGGGAAGCTGGCTTAAAACATAAATAAGCTTATGCTTGCCTGACTAATGATTTTCTGAGACACTTTCCTCTCAATACTTCTCTTCGTGAATGAAAATTATTGTCTCTGTACATGTTTCACCGAATTAAACTTATTTTATTGATTTTTAGTAGTCCCTCTCGCAGTTTTGATCGCTGCACCGGTTGTTTCCAAACATAAACATCGCATGTAGGAATACTCAAAACGCCGCGCGTAAATATCACTCGCTTTTAAAGATTACACAACAAAATCATACACAGTTTAATGAATAAAGGGAAATAAAACCTAAACATAACAATTTCTCTATCATGTTGAAGCGTAAATGGTAACTCTATTATAGTCTAGTCATTCTACGAGAAAAAAAGACCGAACCTTGAAGTAATTGCAACAGAATTTATTTTTGCCGGAAGTTATTCTACTGATGCCTATAAATAACATGTCAAAAGTCTACCAAACGTTTCGAAGGATAAAATGATGAAATTACAGTTTTATGATTGAATTCTTTTTCTAAATTCAAAATGGCTGCCGCGCAATTTATTCAAAATATATGCGTAAATTTTTACAGCAAACAGCTAAGAACAATAGGCGTAATTGGAAAACAAAATGCGTGCACGTGTTTAAATGTAAAGATTTGAACAACTTTTTGATCACATCGAAGAAATTTTATTTCGAGAACTGGAAAACAACAGTTTTCCTTGAATTAGTTCTCTATCAATAAGTATATATGTGTATCAGTGACTCTAAAGACTCTCGATTGTTTGGTTTGGAAAATTCTTGCTCCGTACAACTGCTCTGGACGATTCTCTGGCCTTCAAACTAACAAAGTTCTTCGCTTCACAAGACATTTATTTAGACGAGTATTGGTAGAAACGCATTGTTGGACGTCCAGAGTGGTACTTTAGTGAAAAATGTCGTGTGAAGGTAAAGTATAGATGGTTAAAGATGTGGTTTATCGTCCGGTTAACATCGCACGATGGAGTATTGTGTAATTTGCAAGGAATTATCAACCAATGGCCTCGAAACAGTGGAACTCAGGCAAAAAGGAAGCGATGGCATCAACAATGCAAGTAAACTACGTAGCGACACACTCCAAACCTTTGCAGGACAGCGTGTACATCAAAAATGCAGACAGATATACTGTCATGTAAAGGTTATTCGTTCCTACATAAAGAAACATACGGCTGATGAAGAAACATCCTCTAGTGCAAGTCGTACCCTGCGTTCCAGTGAACCAACATTTGATTTTGGTGAACGATGTTTATTTTGCAGCCAGCCTGCTAAACTTACGGGAAACAAAAGAGGACATGATGTTTTTCCTGTTAGAACATTAGATTTTCAAACCATATTAAACCGAATTTGTGAGGAGCGAAGAGACGGTTGGGCTGAGAAAGTGCATGGCAGAATATCTTTTTCCCAAGATCTCATTGCAGCAGGTGCAATTTATCACCAAGTTTGCAGTACCAATTTTCGGACGGGGAAGCAAGTACCGCTTTCTCATCAAACTAACGGAAGCAAACGACAAAAGAAAGGCAGGCCAACTGATAAGTCTAGGCAAGAGGCATTCTTGGAGGTTGCAAAATATCTTAAGGAAAACGATGACGAGCAGATAACTGTGAACGATCTTATGAATAAGATGGCAGAATTCAACGACCAAGAACCTTACAGCGCACGGTATATGAAAGAAAAACTTAAAGAGCATTTTGGAGAAAACATCGTTATTGCTAGTATCAATGGTAAGGCTGATGTCGTAACATTTAGGAGTACAGCTTCGACCATCTTGCAAAATTTTTATGACGCTTCTAGAGATGCTGACCCTGAAGCCGATAAAATCAGAGTGATTAAGGCAGCTGCTGATCTCATAAAAACGGACATCAAAAGTAAGGACATCTCTAAAAGTTTTTATCCATTACCTGGAGAGATTTCGTCTTTGGATGAAAACTGCGCTTTTCTACCTGAAACGTTGTATTTGTTTCTGAGAACAATATTTAACGAAAAGAGTGCAGAGCGAAAGATTGCTTCCATAGGGCAAGCCATTATTCAAGCCGCTCGGCCCAGGGTCCTGATAGCTCCTCTTCAAATCGGCCTGGCAGTCCAAATGCACCACCATTATGGATCCAAATTTTTAATTGATTCCTTGAATAGTCATGGGTTTTGCTCCTCTTACACTGAAGTTAAGAAATTTGAAATGAGTGCGGCGCAAACAAAAGGCACAGATATTCCTGGTTTAACCCCTGGTCACTTTGTACAATATGTAGCAGATAATCACAGTAGACCACAATGTCTGTACGTTGGACGGACAGAACACTTTTCATGGTATGGGGATAATAGCTGCTG